AAACATCCAAGTTAATCCCTCATAGACTGTGCAAGAGACACTTCTGCCTAGCATTCTGCCACGACACAACCCCTGGCTCTGGCTTCCAGCAACGTGCTCCTCCTCACCACCTTCTGTGCTCTCACTGGTGGCGTCTCCAGCACAGAGGCCCACAAACGGTCTGTATGGGCAACACAGGCTCTGCTATCACGCACCTCAAAATCTTTCCAGCCTCTACCCACTGCCTGGTTGCAAAGGACTTCCACATTTTTAGGTATTTGTTATGGGGGAATTCCACTTTCATGTACCAAAATCTGTATTTGTTTTTTATTGTTGAATGACAAAGTACCACAAACTTAGTACCTTCAAACAATATCCATTTATTATTTCACAGTTTTTATAGGTTAGATGTCGAGGCACTGCATAACCAGGTTCTCCACTCAAGGACTTAATGGGGCTAAAATCCAAAAATCAGCAAAGCTGGTTCTTGCGACCCTTTCTGGAAGAGCTGAGAAAGAATCTGCTCCCAAGCTCATCCAGGTTATGAGCTGAATTCAGCTTCTTGTGGACTGAGTTTCTGTTTCTCCTTGCTGTCTCAGAGGGTATGCCCCAGAGGCCACCTGTATTCCTATGTGGCCACGTCCATCTGTGAGGCCAGCAAGGGAGAATCTCCTTTCCATCGAATCCTTTACACACGCTGAATGTTTTGCAGAAAGAATCCACTCTCTCTTAATGGCTCACCTGATTAAGTTATGCCTATTGAGGATAATTCCTTATTTTAAGATCGGCTAATTTGGAAACTTAATTACATCTGCAAAATGCCTTCATCTAGGTAAGTGGTTGTTTAAATAATGAGGAATATGTATGTGTACACCAGGGGCAGATATCTTGAGACCTATCTTAGAATTCTGTCAATTTAGCAGTTGAATGTTTGGGTCATGGAGTATGTGAATAGTGAATGTAACACTTAAAACTCCCAATAGTAGGTTATGAGAAGTTTCAGTGGCATCACAATCTACCATCCCCTAGGCATTCTGATGGATGACTGTAGAATTAGTTTGCATTTGCCTAATGACTGATTTTTTCATCTTCTTTAAAAAAAAAATTGGTTAATTATTGTATCATGTTTTAACACAAACCTCTAAAAATCACATTTGTTCATATTATAATGTACGTCTAGGTTCCTGCTTTCATGTAAGCTATTTAAGAATTTTATTAATCTTTGTTATCTCTTGAGCTAGCATAATCTTTGGTACACAGTAGATATCATCAATGTTTGGTGAAGTGTACTTAATTTAGATTCTATTTTTTTTTTTCATTTCCAACTTTGAAGCACTGTGCTTACTCTATACTCCTCCTGGAGCAAATGATAATCATACGGTCCACTCAGTAATGTAAGTAATAAAGTGCCTGGACCAATACCACATTAACACAGTTAGAAAAATTATATATGCCCTAATCGTATCTACCATTGAACTATTTAGCATTTAAAGTCCTACACTTAAAAAAAAGTGTTTTCATGCATTCCCTCTTTTGCTATTATTTTTCACAAGACTTAGCTCTAATTATTCTTATATTTACCTTTGGTTATGTATCCCCTCCTTCTATATACTCTTTTTGTTATGTTTTTGTACAATATTTCTAAGCTCTTAATACATTGCATGGCCTTTGTGAGAACAGACCAACCTCTCTGAATATCTCTCCTCCCCGTTTCCTTGTCAGAATTTCTTAGTCATTATAGATCGTTTTATTCTAGGAAGTTATCCAAAACTTCCTGAACATCTTTCCTTTTACATTTTCAAAGTCATCAAATTTTAATCAACGTTCCTCTAAGTATTAAGAGAATTTTTTTCTTTCTTCCTTTCAAATGTCTGAGTATGTAGTTCTCTGTACCCAGAATTCCCAAGATGACTCATCATTTCCACACTATCAACCAATCTTTTGAATCATACGTACACGGTGTCCCAAAAGTCATCACACATATAGAGAATGGGAAACTGTAGCTAAATGTACATTTATTTACAAAATATTAAACAAAATTCTGTGCATCTTGGCCCTCTCTTTATAAAATTTTATAATGAATATTTTGTTAAGTAAAGGAACATTTAGCCATAATTTCCCATTTTCCCCTGGTGTGGCGCCCTGTGGGACACACCCAGAGTAGCAGCTCTACCTGCCTTTCTAAAAGGCTTGGATACTATTTCACGCCTGTGTTAATTTCACCCCACCAAGTCACTCTTCATTTCTAGTATATGAATACTTTTCAGTAAGCTGCTTTCAAAGAAAAGTATTCTGACAATATGATACAATTACCACAGAAACTGTAATTCTAGGTCTTTTAACTTGTTCCAATTCTGTAATTATATTTTTCTCTTGCATTGAGTTAATTTAGAATCTTTGTAAGACCTGTATAGGTTTTGGGTGGCTGGTATTTAGTCAAACACTCCTTTACAGCTGTCTAGGCCCGTGCCTCGCTCACATACATTTTGAGCAAATGACAAGCTTCATAAACATGCAAAGCATAATAATAAGGTAATATAATAACATAAGGAGTATAGTGTGAAAAGTGAGGTTTTGTTTCCAAATTAACTTATGAATGCTATAAGGAAAATCTCATGATAGGGCAGTAGCCAGTTCCTGGAGTATATCAGAAGCACCAAATCTCTTGTGTTAGCATCTACATGAATTACTTCATTGATTATTTTTTCCTTAACGTGACTATAGATATGAATGCTCCACTGATACTTAAGTTATCAAAAAATTTATTCCATGTACTATTGTATTTTCCTTTTCACTACTTTAGAACTCATACAGATTTATTCTCAAAACTCAAGGACATCGTCAAACAAAACAGCCACATGAAAATTATAAATCAGAGTATTAGAATAAAGAAAAAAACGTGTCTTTAGAAATACATTAATTTCACTATTAGGACTTTGCTATTTGGGTATTTAACGTACTTATGGGAAAAATACCCATGAATAAAATTTCAGTAAGGAAAATTTTTCTTGACCTCTAAATAATAAATAATATTTATGTGAAAGTATCATACAAACAATAAATCACCATATAAATTTAGATATAAATCTCAGACCATGATATTAGGTATCAAATAAGAAAAGCCACATACATAATTTGGTTCTCAGTCTTAAAATGCTTCCCATATTATTATTTAAAACCCATGTAAAGTTTAACATGGCTGAGAATACTGGTCATAGTAACTCATGGTGATGAAAAAAAGACTAGCAGATAGTTTTAAATGCTTATCAACCCATGACTTCCTCCTGAGTAAACATCTTTACAGGAAAAACATAAAACATTTTTATAAGCTTTTCATGTTTCCCTACCTTTCCTAGTTTCATAACTAAAAATGTAAATAGCATAGAAGTGAAACACAGTATCAGGCTAACCCAAATCCATTGTAAAATGAGGGGAAACTAGGCTACTGCTCACTGCACTTCAACACCAATAAAAATAAACAGCATGGTAGTCATTACAACTATTCATAAATATTCCAGTTTACTTTCATCCTGTGTACACAACTGAAAGTAGATATGACCATGTGACCTGCTCTGCCCATTAAAGGAGCAGAAGAGATGCCCACCACCTCTAGGCTTAGCTTTAAGAACTGATGTGTGTTTCAACACTTTCTCTTTCTTCCTCTTCTGTGGCAACTGATTAACATTTTAACTTTTTCCTTTCTTTCCAAGAAACCTCTAATCTCTAGAAATAGAGATTAGCAAAACAGTGGGACCTCCATGTAGTGATCACCTCCCTACCCTCATCATAAATATCATAAATATCTATGCTAAATATAGTAGAGCCTCCATAGACATATTGTAGGAGTTGACCACCTCCCTACATTGACCATCTCTTTAAGTTGACCATTTTCATAGACTGGACATGCACCACATGTACATAGCAGTACAGCAGGCCTAGTTCCTCATTTTGACCACCACTGTATACTGACCACTTTGTTACAGCCTCTTGGGTGGTCAACTTAAGAGAAGTTCTACTGTATTTCAAAGACTGGTTGTTCCTCAGCCAGGACTCTGGCATAAAGACAACAATGAAAAGGACCAGTATTTCCAGCAAATCCACAAAAAATTCCACATGGTATAAGCACAAATAAATCATTTCAAGTCACTGAAATTTTGAGAGCATTTGTCACTAAGGCATAGTTTAGAGTATCCCGATTGATACAGAATCTAAAACTAAACATAAAGCAGATGTATAAAGGAAAAGAAGCTTCACAAATGAAGAGTAAAAGGATGGGAAAGGATTTAGATCCTTCTGCCTGGGGAAGCGACTCCGACAGAAGGCCTTCGTAAGGGCACCAATGGCAGGACAATAAGACAAGTTGAGAATGCCACGGAGCTCAGGCTGAAGGGTAGACCAGGTACTGCTGCTGAGCCTCCACTCTACCACCCCCTTTCCACCTGCAGGAAAGCACCAAGGAAAACCAGGCTCTTCCCAAGCACAACCTCTATCCTTTCAGCCACTTTACAACATCTTCGGTCTTGAGGGAATACGACAAGGCACATCCATGAGGCATTAGAGCCCATTCCTTGGCATTTTAAGTTCAACAGGTGCCATGCAAGTTTGTAGGCATCCTAGAGGATTTCATCCAGACCAGGTAATACAGGTCCTTGTTTATAGTTACCTAATGAAGGCCACGGGGAGCTGAACTCGGAACGGGACCAACTAGTTTCTGCTAAGTTGGGTAAGTTATTAAAACAGTTACAGGAAGACTATATATAATGGCTTCCCTTCGAGGCAATAAAAGGGGGCTAGAGATTTTTGTCTTTTATACAGACTGTAAGTAATTTACATGATTGCCTCCACAGAGAAATACAGGTCTGGAAAGGAAGGAATTACATTTTAGATATCTTTAAAAGTTTGTGAATTATTTTTTAGAATATGCATAAAGTTTATCACAAAAAAAGAATAAAATTCAAAGAAAATTTAACAAAATACAACAGTACACAGCTGATACACAGGATAACTGAGAGAACACTTACCTTTCTCTGCAAAATTTCAGTGAATGCAGTATGGCAGGCCTCTTCTGACGCAGATTCCATAAGTGCAAGGTGTCGTCAGCCAAGGCACTCACAAGCGCTCCCTTACAAATGAAATATAACACATCCATATTTAATATAGTTTACAAACATTAATGCTACTAAACAGCTGCCAAAAACATCTCCTTCCCAAATTTCAACACTTTCTTTCAGCTGATTTAGTTCTAAGAAACGTAAGCCTCACCCAAATTCAAAACGGCTGATATAAAAAAGTGTATGGCATATATATGTAAATTAATAGATGTTTTAACTTCTTCAGTAAAGTATAATTTAGTAACTTAAAATCAAAAGTATACTAGGATCCAGTGGGGCAGTATGGTTAAACTCCAGCTATTTAAAATTAGAGGTCATGGATGTGTTACTTAGTTTAATGTAAGCATTTCACCTTTTATATGGAAGCAGTACCCTGAGCCCCATAAATGCATCAATCATCAAAGTTATGATTTAATAAAAAAAATTTAAAAAATGAAGGCTGAACACTAAAAATAAATAAATAAAAATAGAATTAGAGGTCAGACTATAAGTTATTTGGTCACTATTATATATACTTCCTTGATTAACGTAGCAAAATAAGACATAAAGTAACCTTATTTCATTGGTTAAGAAAAATCCTTAGCAAAGTACTACACCTAGATCATAATTCTACTGCTAGAATAGAAATATAAAACAAAGATGGCATCTGGCACACTGTAATGTCAATGTCCAAGGGGTTGAAAATTTAATTTAGAAAGTTAAAACATACGACCATTTAGTATTAGTATATGTGGAAGAAAATGCCTGGCAGTATGTGACAATCACCCAGTTGGCTCAGTCTCAACCAAGATCCAAGAAATCAGAATTTCCAAATTGTCATGGTTTAGATGTGGTTTAGATGTAGCCACCAAACTCATGTTGGAATTTAATTGCCAATGTCATGGTGCTGAGAGGTGGCAAAAGCTTTAAGAGGCATTTAGGTTATGAAATGATCAGCCCTCACAAAGGATTTAATGCAGCTTCCAGAGAGGGAGAGAGGGAGGGAGAACGGGATGAGACCCCTGGGCACCCGCATGTTGGCTCCCTGGGCACACACCCACCTTCCCTTCCACTTCCTCTCCAGGGTATGTACGGCACAGCAGGAGGCCTTCACTAGAACCCAACCTGATTCCCTCGCCTGATCTTGGACCTCCCAATCTTCAGAATCGTAGGTAAATAAATTTCTTTCTTTTATAAATTATACAGTCTCACATATTTGGTTATAGCAACAAAACTAAGACACAGAGCAAGAACCTATGGAGGTGTTGTTTGTTTTTTAATTTCCAGAGCTAATTATGATATGTGAATAAGATTAAGAATCTCTAGACCAGCGGTTCTCAACCTGTGGGTCGCAACCCATAGGAACTGTATTGAAGGGCTGCGGCATTAGAAAGATTGAGAACCACTACTCTAGACTAAGGGTTGATTTACTAAGACATCTGAAAGTTTCCTCAAAGGAATCAAATACCCTTCATCCACGCTGAAAGAATGAGATGTGTAACATGAAGAATTTATATGAATTTCATAGAAGAGTTGCAATTCCAATCCTTTAGATTTTGAGAAATCTTAAAATCTCTCCTTTTTAAAATTAAGAGTTTCTCATCTATCCACGAGGATTAAAACATTCTTAAAAAAAGAAATAATCTTTCATCTTCATATATAGATTTAACAACTTTGGGGTTTTTTTTTAGAATTTTAACCATCTTAAAATGCTTAATACATAGTATATGGTTCTACACAGAATAGTGAAGTTTTAAAAAACTTCCCCTGACCCTGAAAAACCCATACAACTGCAATTTATTGGGATCATAGTTTCACTTAATTTTTGTAGTATTATTTTTAGCTTTTTACATCCAGGACTTTTCTTAAATCCCTGATGAGAAGAAAACATTTATCAAAACCATGGATATTCACCAATTTATTTCCTGTCATATAAATTTAAGAATTTATCCCAAGGATCCTAAGGGTTTAGGGGCAAAGGAATGTCCACAAACTATGCTCCTATTTAAGGGGATTAGAGTCTTTTGTGGAGTAATTTTTTCTCTTCCTTCTACTACAGCTTTTCCTGTCACTGCGTGGAGTAAACATCTATTCTCAGGCTGCTCACAGCCTTCTTCAAATCTGCGAGCATAGTGTTTCCTGTGCTGATAAAATGATGTTTTTCTTTAGCTCCTTTGATACTTCATACTCTTATCAAAAAGAAAAGCATCATCAATTACTTACACCAACTTTGGGCAGTAAATACTTTCTGATGAATGTTGGATTCTTGCTTATATTTCAAAGCAATTCATTATAGGCATATATTCCGTGATGCATAACAAACTCAATCTTGTAAAATGTCTTAATGCAGATTTTGATACAGTACATAACGTTCGATATCCCTTAAACAATACTTGAATGCAGCACCTTGTACCAAAATGTCTACCTTATCATACCATTCTATTTCTAACAGTTTTGAGAAAACATCTTGCATTATTTATGTAACTGTCCATGATGGTGCCTTAAAATGAATTACTGCTATCTCTGACCTACACAAAATTACTTTTTGTCCAAATATTTAAATTAAACATGAAGGGACACAAAAAATCTAAAAGACAATGTGGCCCTATTTAGATATAAGTAGTAGAAATTAAAACAGTTCACTCACCTCATTAATCAGGAACTGTAGCTGGATTACGGCCGCTCCACTGTCATGCTGGCAGTAACATTCTACTCCAGGACGACCAAAGCTGTCATTAATTACATTAAGGTGTTTATGATAGGTACGAAGTATTTTTTAGAAAATGATAACTTAAATAATAGGCTAATAAATATTCCAGTAACCTAATACTCAACAACAGGCTACTTACTGAGGTTGAGATCTAGAGTTAAGTTTAATTACATATCAATCTAATCAGTTAGTTTCTGTTGTTAAAGACTCAGTCTAAGAGAAATAAGAAAAATGTCCTTCTAGAAAAAAAATAAAGTACTAAAATCAGCAAGATATGAAAAACAAGATAATATACTGTTAATTTACTTTACTCTGCTCCAAATTATTTTCTTCCTTTTAAAGAGAAAAGGTAGTTAGTTGATCTGGAAAGCATCCAACTTTGCCCAAATCAGCAGCAAACAAACCTGAAAAGTTGGCAAATGTCATACTAGAATAATGCTTTTAGAGACAATAATCTTTTTACTGTCATTTTTCATTACTGCAGTGTCTTTTGAAGTAGGCTAAAAATATGAAGCTGTAGCATATAACTCTGATTCTAATTGAAACATGATGTATCACCAAAGAATGTATCCATCTTTTATAATAGGCATGGATACAGATTAACATGAATTTGCATAGAATAATAATAGAAAATACATAACATTCCTAATGTTAGACATTATTGCAAACATGCTATTTCTCTCCATCTAATCCTCATAACCCATGAAGAATACGTTATTTCCTCCCCATGAAACATAAGGAAACTAAGGTACAGGCAAACTTAAGCAGCTTGGCCCAAGTCACACAACTATAATGTTGCAGAGATGGAATATGAATAAGCTTCTCGATCCAACATTTACACTCTAAATTAACAAAGTATGCTGAGACAAAAAAAATGCAACAACAACAACAAAAAAAACCCATACATTTACAGAGCTCACTATGTGCCAGGCACGGCTGTGTGCATTTTACCTTCATAAATGTGACATAAGAAGGCACTCATTTTAACATGCTGCTACGCTAACAGAATTTTCATTAGTTAATAAATATTAAGTAAAATGCCAAACGTGAAATTAAAACTTGGTGGGATTTAATAAAATTATAGCTCTCTGTATACAAACACACATTCAGGTACAGACTATTTCTATATTCTATTAATATATGCCACTGACGTCTTAATGAAAAAATAATTTTACCAGAGATTAAATTCCTTTTTGCTATGTATTTTTCCCTTTGGATTTGCAGAATTTTTTCTAGGTGATATTTATTTTCAGCAGGTTTTCTTTTATTATTCGAGACTTATTTTATATTATTATATAAACTAATAAATTGAGCACATTATTCATGGTTGCACTAGCAGTCACAGCAGTTGTATTTTTGCTACGCCAGCTGCTCACATGCAACCACAAGAAACTGATTTCAAATTGCTAGTATTGGCATTTTGGCTTCTCTCAGGGCCTGAGAAGCCAAAGAGAGAAATATCTGTGTCTCCATTTATTCATGTCTTTTTTTTTTTGATCACAGTCTCAGCCTTGCCCTCATTCCTTACTGTAATCACTCTAATTCTAATTTTTCCAGCTAAATTATTCTTTCTGGCACCAATTAGTGTGTAATTTCCATTTTACATGAATGAATTAAGTAAAACCTCTCTTTTTTGACCAGATCAGGATCAATGACTAAGTTAATAAAAATAAATTGAGCAATTACAGAAAATATTAAAAAGTATACTGACCTTACATATTATCTTATCACAAAACACAAATAATTTTGCTAATCTTTTGATGTTAGCCAAAGAGATTTCTTTCAGTATGAACCTATCAATTAGAGTTCAGAGTTATTTTTCTTTAGTAAAACACAGCTATTAACTACCTATGTATAAGATTTCCAGTTTAACTTCTTAAATGGAACTTTAAAGATACCAGCAAAGCAGTGTGAGTGTAGCACACACACAGAATCTCATCATTTCTTTTCTAGTCTACAGTTATTCACACCAAGTCAGATGGGAAATTTTAAGTGGTGGACCTTCATGAATTCTTCCTAAATAATTTACCTTGGATTTTTATTTAAATATAACATTTTGAAATCACACGTCATCATTTTATGTACTGTTAAGTGAATTACTTGAACAGAGGATCAAATATGACAGGCAAAAACAGAGTTGAGAATAACAAAAAGTGATTGTTGGTAAGCAGAGAATAAGCAAATTATACTACAAATTTGGGCCTTGTAGCTAGCCTACTGATCTTCAAATTTCATTTTGCCATGGATATTAATCGATATTTTATCCATGGAGATTGAAAAGTGTCTATAAATCTAGAAAATCAGCTACACAGAAGAGGGGTTTCCTGTCATGCCATATAAATACAACACTATCCTAGACAAAAATGTGTTTTATCATATAACATAGTTAGTAAACTTCAAGCTAAAATGACAAATATATCCTTAATATACAATAAGAACCATTTACTGGGTATCTACTAAGTTCCAGGCACTGTGCCTTAAAAACATGACTAAAGATAATCATCACAATAACTCTAAAAGGTAGTTATTATTGATATTTTGTAGATGATAATTCTAAGGCTCAGAGAAATGATTTTTCTGTGTTAGTGATTTTGTAAATTTTTGCTGTAGATAGAGTCGTACTATGCAGCTGCAGCCAGCTGACAAAAACCACCCTATGGATTTGAAAAAGTAACATAATAAATTACCATAACAAACTGTTTAAAATTAAATTGTAAAGGCTATTGTTTATATATAATCATGAAATGGCAGCAAAGAAAGAACACAAATTTCAGAGCAAGCAGTTCTCAATTCTGGTAATAGTACCAAAATTCCAGCCCTACTGCAAATTAACTAAACTCAGATTAGCAAGGGAGATGCTCAGGTAGGTTGATAGTTGGGAGTCTACAGTCCTTATTTACTGTGCCACAGCAGTGTGTGAGGCACAAGGAGAAATGAGGACCTTGACTTTCAAGTCAGGTCATACGCTAGCTCTGCCATTACATGCTGTGGCCAGAGAGAAGTTATTACGCCTCTTAACTGTCTAATCTATAAAATGCAAATGAGACCCATCTAGTCTAACTTGCAGCACTGCAGTGAGAGTTAAACCATATAGAGTACACTCACCAAATAGCAGCCATTACCATTAACAGGAGGCATTCACTACATTAGCTAGCTCTAAATGGTGCCTTACAAAGAACATAACGTCGTAAGCAAGAAAATGTTATTAAAGACAGTCGCAAGCCACCCATGTTCTAAACATTCATGCACATTCCCACTTACAGTTTTTACACATACTGCTCTTCCGAATAGTGACATTACTTGAGTTAATATCTGTATTAGATCATGGTCAAACACCATGACAAATATCTGCTTGGTAAATTATCCTCACTTATCATGGCTATCTTCACAATGACATGAAGAAACAAAACTTTTGAAATTATTATAAAAGAAAAGCAGACTATACACTGAAGAATTCAGTAAATACATTTAATAAATGAAGAAATATTCATTTACTGCTCTAATATCTGTTGCTATGCACACATATATGTATGAACCGATTATAAAGGGAAGTTGAATATTAATAAATCTTTTTCTTGGGTCACTCTGCTTGTAACTCTGAACTTTAATGCGTTCTTCAGAAAATGGTACCATCTTCCTGCCTAAGATACCTTTTTTTTTTTTTTCCTGTTTCTTTGGCCAGGGCTGTTTTTGAACCTGCCACCTCTGGCCTATGGGGCCAGCACCCTACTCCTTTGAGCCACAGAAGCCGCCCCTAAGATACCTTTTTATTCTCAGTTTTTCTGTTGCTTGCCTATCAAGGGTAATGGCATCTACCTAATCCCACTAGTCATCTTTTTTTCAGAGCAAACCAGTTAATTTATTTGACCTGTGATACATGCCAGATGCTTTCTGGCCACTCACAGTCCTTGTCTTTACCCTTATAACTGGCACATTCATGAAAAGAAGATGGAGTTAAAATACAATGGGAGTCGAATGCAAGGCTAGGCAGTTTAGATATGATCCTTTATGCAAGCAATAGGCAAAAAAGAAATAATGACAGGAAAAGCATATAAAACTAGCAATTAATAATCTGAAAGAGGTGTTAATATGCAGAACCAGCTAAACCTTTTAATTACAGTACTATAAATCAAATTCAAAATAACCATAGATAAGCATCCCTCCAGTTGCATAAATGGCTTTTGCCTGCTGCTGGTGGTGGCAGTGGGTGGGTAGGGATGAATAAAAGAGGAATTGGGAGGCCTTTAAGTACCCCATCATCATCATCGGAGCAGCTGAGGTTTACTGAACTCTTGATATGTGTCAAGTGCAGTACTGTGTACGTATTACCTCACGACAGCACCTCCACGCCGCTGTGACAGGCTGTGTTTTATATGCTCATGTCGTCTTCTGTTCTCCTCCTTGCTTGTTAGGAAGTCATAATGGATTCTGTACCTACTTCCTTGATTAACTGGGAACATCTGTGACTGAATCACATGATTATGTCTGTGAAACTTCCACCTATAGGCTACCTGGTCTCAGGTCACAGGAGCCCGGCAATCTGCTCTCTGCACCTAGAGCTGGGCAAATGTCTGACACACAGTAGATACCTGATTAATGCTTATGAATGAGTAAGCACTTTGAACATCTAAGCAACATGTTTATGTTCAGTCATATCACCTTAGGCAAAATCAGCTCACTCTTCAGATAACCAATAAAATGTATGGAATGGTGGAAAGAATTCTCACCCTGCCTCTATCGGGAGATCAGATTGTCTCGAGGGTACATTACAGCTCTTAACATTCCATGAATCTATATTCCCAGCTTATCCATTTCACCTTCCAGCCATTTGTTAGGATCCTATTATAATCAGAGCAACATTTCCTCTTATTGCTTATCCTTCCTTATGTGACTTACACTGTAGTGTCAGCAAGGCAGAATCAAAAAGTCATAGAAGAAGGAGGCAGGAGGCCCCCAGTCAGCAATAAAGTCTGACAGCACAGCTCCTGGGCAGGTTTTCACCCTTGTCACTACCACTGT